GATATTAGTAATATTATTGGTAGTAGTGATAATAATAGTAACAATTATAATGTACCTGATATTAGTACTTTTGATGGAAATTTTAATCTAAATGATATTAATAATCATCCTCGACCTTTACCTCTTGGAACACAACAATATGTGATTCCACAACAGCCACAACCTCTTTTTACACCAAATTGTCAAGTATGCTATAATCAAAATGAGCCCATTATTCCCAAACCAGATAATTATATGACGGGAATTATTGATACTGATCTTGTTTATCAAGCTGCAAACCTTCCAATTTCAAACAACAACCATACTTTTAATCATTCCCATGATTTACTACCCCATCATCAAAATAGACCTCCACAACTCACATTACCGATACAACAACAACAACAACAACAACAACATTCTCAAATTTTTATTCAGCGGCCTCCCTTTCCACTAGATTTAAACAACAACCATATTTGTAATTATCCCAATGATTTACTATCCCAACATCCACAACTCACATCATTGCCATCGCTACCAACACAGCAACAACAACATTCTCAAATCTTTATTCAGCAACCTCCCTTTTCACTAGAAACAAATCATATAAATTCACGTACTCGAGAAAATATTCATCAATTGGAAACTTTATTACATCAATTCAATGTTATAGTGAGAAGCATCAATGATTGCAGTAGAAATTTATCCGAGGTTTGGAATAATAATAATAAAATCAAAACTAAATTTATATAGTTAAAGTTTTGTTATTTATAAACTTTTTAACCATAGATTTGACAGTTTAGGAGTTTCGCCCACAGTTTAGGCAATTTTTGAGTTTCGCAACTGGTTTAGGAGCCTAAACTATTTCGGATTTTCTAAAATAATTTCGGCCACTTGGCCTTCTAAATCACAATATTGTACCTCTCTATCTTATCTTTACATTCACTACTGGAGGGTGTTTCCTGAGGTAAGTTTTGTATGACGTCCATTTTCTGTAAGGCGAATTTGCTTAAGATATAGCTATATATTATATTACACACCCTGGACAAAAGTATCCGGACACCTGTTTTTACTAATTACACAAAAACGCGCATAATAACTACACATAAA